GACATTCCCTTATAGGGGCCTGTTATCTAAGTAGTGAACCTGCTAGATGTAGACATTCCCTTATAGGGGCCTGTTATCCAAGTAGTGAACCTGCTAGATGTAGACATTCCCTTATAGGGGCCTGTTATCCAAGTAGTGAACCTGCTATATATAGACATTCCTTTATAGGGGCCTGTTATCCAAGTAGTGAACCTGCTAGATGTAGACATTCCCTTATAGGGGCCTGTTATCTAAGTAGTGAACCTGCTAGATGTAGACATTCCCTTATAGGGGCCTGTTATCGAAGTAGTGAACCTGCTAGATGTAGACATTCCCTTATAGGGGCCTGTTATCTAAGTAGTGAACCTGCTAGATATAGACATTCCCTTATAGGGGCCTGTTATGCAAGTAGTGAACTGGCTAGATGTAGACAATCCCTTATAGGGGCCTGTTATCGAAGTAGTGAAGTTACTATGTATAGACAATCCATTATAGGGGCCTGTTATCCAAGTAGTGAACCTGCTAGATGTAGACATTCCCTTACAGGGGCCTGTTATCCAAGTAGTGAACCTGCTAGATGTATACATTCCCTTACAGGGGCCTGTTATCCAATTAGTGAACCTGCTATATATAGACATTCCTTTATAGGGGCCTGTTATCCAAGTAGTGAACCTGCTAGATGTAGACATTCCCTTATAGGGGCCTGTTATCCAAGTAGTAGGGGCCTGTTATCCAAGTAGTGAACCTGCTAGATGTAGACATTCCCTTATAGGGGCCTGTTATCCAAGTAGTGAACCTGCTAGATGTAGACATTCCCTTATAGGGGCCTGTTATCCAAGTAGTGAACCTGCTAGATGTAGACATTCCCTTACAGGGGCCTGTTATCCAAGTAGTGAACCTGCTAGATGTATACATTCCCTTACAGGGGCCTGTTATCCAATTAGTGAACCTGCTATATATAGACATTCCCTTATAGGGGCCTGTTATCCAAGTAGTGAACCTGCTATATATAGACATTCCTTTATAGGGGCCTGTTATCCAAGTAGTGAACCTGCTAGATGTAGACATTCCCTCATAGGGGCCTGTTATCTAAGTAGTGAACCTGCTATATATAGACATTCCTTTATAGGGGCCTGTTATCCAAGTAGTGAACCTGCTAGATGTAGACATTCCCTTATAGGGGCCTGTTATCCAATTACTGAACCTGCTAGATGTAGACATTCCCTTATAGGGGCCTGTTATCTAAGTAGTGAACATGCTAGATATAGACATTCCTTTATAGGGGCCTGTTATCCAAGTAGTGAACCTGCTAGATGTATACATTCCCTTACAGGGGCCTGTTATCCAATTAGTGAACCTGCTAGATGTAGACATTCCCTTATAGGGGCCTGTTATCCAATTAGTGAACCTGCTATATATAGACATTCCCTTATAGGGGCCTGTTATCCAAGTTGTGAAACTGCTAGATATAGACATTCCTTTATAGGGGCCTGTTATCCAAGTAGTGAACCTGCTAGATGTAGACATTCCCCTTATAGGGGCCTGTTATCCAAGTAGTGAACCTGCTAGATGTAGACATTCCCTTATAGGGGCCTGTTATCCAATTAGTGAACCTGCTATATATAGACATTCCTTTATAGGGGCCTGTTATCCAAGTAGTGAACCTGCTAGATGTAGACATTCCCCCTATAGGGGCCTGTTATCCAAGTAGTGAACTGGCTAGATGTAGACAATCCCTTATAGGGGCCTGTTATCGAAGTAGTGAAGTTACTATGTATAGACAATCCATTACAGGGGCCTGTTATCTAAGTAGTGAACATGCTAGATGTAGACATTCCCTTATAGGGGCCTGTTATCTAAGTAGTGAACATGCTAGATGTAGACATTCCCTTATAGGGGCCTGTTATCCAAGTAGTGAACCTGCTAGATGTAGACATTCCCTTATAGGGGCCTGTTATCCAAGTAGTGAACATGCTAGATGTAGACATTCCCTTATAGGGGCCTGTTATCCAAGTAGTGAACCTGCTAGATGTAGACATTCCCTTATAGGGGCCTGTTATCTAAGTAGTGAACCTGCTAGATGTAGACATTCCCTTATAGGGGCCTGTTATCCAAGTAGTGAACCTGCTAGATGTAGACATTCCCTTATAGGGGCCTGTTATCCAAGTAGTGAACCTGCTAGATGTAGACATTCCCTTATAGGGGCCTGTTATCTAAGTAGTGAACATGCTAGATGTAGACATTCCCTTATAGGGACCTGTTATCCAATTAGTGAACCTGCTATATATAGACATTCCCTTATAGGGGCCTGTTATCGAAGTAGTGAACTTGCTAGATGTAGACATTCCCTTATAGGGGCCTGTTATCCAAGTAGTGAACCTGCTAGATGTAGACATTCCCTTATAGGGGCCTGTTATCCAAGTAGTGAACCTGCTAGATGTAGACATTCCTTTATAGGGGCCTGTTATCCAAGTAGTGAACCTGCTATATATAGACATTCCCTTATAGGGGCCTGTTATCCAAGTTGTGAACCTGCTATATATAGACATTCCCTTATAGGGGCCTGTTATCGAAGTAGTGAACTTGCTAGATGTAGACATTCCCTTATAGGGGCCTGTTATCCAATTAGTGAACCTGCTATATATAGACATTCCCTTATAGGGGCCTGTTATCGAAGTAGTGAACTTGCTAGATGTAGACATTCCCTTATAGGGGCCTGTTATCCAAGTAGTGAACCTGCTAGATGTAGACATTCCCTTACAGGGGCCTGTTATCCAAGTAGTGAACCTGCTAGATGTATACATTCCCTTACAGGGGCCTGTTATCCAATTAGTGAACCTGCTATATATAGACATTCCCTTATAGGGGCCTGTTATCGAAGTAGTGAACTTGCTAGATGTAGACCATCCCTTATAGGGGCCTGTTATCCAAGTAGTGAAGTTACTATGTATAGACAATCCATTATAGGGGCATGTTATCTAAGTAGTGAAGTTGCTATGTATAGACAATCCCTTATAGGGGCATGTTATCGAAGTAGTGAAGTTACTATGTATAGACAATCCCTTATAGGGGCCTGTTATCTAAGTAGTGAAGTTGAATTAGGGGAAACCACTTAAAGCATTCGTTGTATTGAGCTATTTCCATTGCTTTTGTTCGATTTGTTCATTGTAAATGCAAACCACTGAAAGTCTGTAAATTTTGAAAATAAACGTGATTTTCAATTGAGGTTGAATAATTTTCATTACAACTGTAGATCCAAAAGAATAATAATGTTTATGTTAATGGACATCAAAAAATGCTAATAAATACTTTACAAGACTGCGAGAACAAACAACCTGACAAGCTAGAAGCAAAGAGAGTGAGTTAACAATGCCATTAAAGGTCTTGTAATGTCTCCCATCTTGGACCACCAATAATCCAACATCTCCAAAGCCAATATAGTTTTACATTTACTGTTAGCTTATAATTATTATAATTATTTAATTATTATTTTATTAATCGTATGATGGGATCACAACACTTTCATTCCAGTTAACTTCGGTGTGGATTTGGTGTAAAAACTCAAGTGTCCATTATCTTGCTTTTTAAAGCTGGTTTAGGAACTGTGTGCGTTGGTTACCAGGTTTCCCCCATTTAGCAAAGTTAACCAATTACATTTCAATAAATCTCCTGCGGGGTTAGGACTGAGAATTATCAATAATTAGGCCTTCTCACGCCCTACAAACAATCACATGATCACAGCTTTATCGAGACGGTTAGAAAACGATTCTATAAAACCACATTAAGGTCTTAGAGTGGGTGTGTCATTTACAAAATGTGAAAATGAAGGTTTTTATCATAATACAATCCATTCCCTGAATCAGACTATGAATTGGGAGTTTTGATTTCATTATGTAACTGGGGAGACCAGTTAAAATCATACGTTTTACATGTTAGGAATAACATCAAATGTTAATGGATTTCCCATGCTATGTAACTTGACTGATGGCTGAGGTTATTCTGAGGTTAAAGGGACACTATAGTCACCAAAACAACTTTCGCTAAAGAGGCAGTTTTGGTGTATAGATCATGCCCCATGCAGTCTCACTGCTCAATTCTCTGCCATTTAGGAGTTAAATCACTTTTCACCTCCCTGCATGTGACTCACACAGCCTTCCTAAACACTCCCTGTAAAGAGAGATCTAATGTTTAAACTTACTTTTTCTTATCTCCTGCACTGGTAATAGTCTGCTAGAGCCTGCAGGAGCCTCCTGTATGTAATTACAGTACAATTTAAAGAACAGGAGGTAAAAGTATTTTAAAGTAAGTTAAAGGGACACTCCAGACCCCTAAAGCAAGTTAGCTCACTGAGCTGCATTGAGAAGCATTGGGAGAGCCACAGAAAATCTGTGTGGGGTTAGAAAGCGAGGGCTTGCAAAGACAGCATACAAGAGACCTGCAGTTTTTGCAAGCTGTTTTTAGATATAAAGCCAATTAAATATTAAATAGTAAATGCATGCAATTTTCCATTCTGGGTTAAGTTAAATTATTTTGGTGACTATATTGTCCCTACTAACTTGTAAGAAACAGTATTGTATATTTTTATTATTCTTATTCTTATTCCTATTGCCATTTATATAGCGCCAACAGATTCCGTAGCCCTTTACAATGTTATTAAAGGGGGGGATTTAACCATAAATTACAGGAACAATACGTTGAAGAGGACCCTGCTCAAACAAGCTTACAGTCTATAGGAGGTGGGGTAAAAAAACACGTTAGGACAGGAAATAGCAATCAAATAAGGTGGGAGTGAAGCAGAGCTGGATGAGAGAGTAGAGTGCTGCCTTTTAGGAGAGAGCAAGAGACAGGTATGTAAGGTAGAGGTTACTCTGTGAGGCCATAAGCTTTCTCTGTGAGGCCATAAGCTTTCCTAAAGAGATGGTTTTTAAGGCACTTCTTAAACGATTGAAGACTAGGGGAGAGGCTGATGGGGGTAGGCAGGCTATTCCAAAGGAAGGGAGCCGCCCGTGAGAAGTCCTTCAAGCATAAGTGGACGTACGGGTGCAAGCAGCGGACAGGAGAAGGTCGGGCAGAGAAGGGGCATTCCTATGGATCTGTGAAGAGATATACGAGGGGCTAGAGTTGTTCAGTGATTTATT